CGTTTACTACAGCTTTTTTTAAATAAGATTTTTGATTTACCATTTATCATAATGTAGTAATGAAGCAAAGTGGTCAAAACTGGGTGTGTGTGACCAGAGATACACCCATATTCGTGTATATACACATCCACCTACATGTTTTGGTCTGTGGTTTAAGAGACTATTTCAAGGTTCCATTTTTATAAGCTAAAACATTCTAAGTAAAGATGGAAGAAAGCCCTAAACACAGTAGATTGTGAGTTTTTATGTGTATTTTAACCAGAGTTTCTGATAAGTACTGTGTTTGGCTACCTATATTTCCAGATCTAAAGCAAGAACTACTCTAAGTACTGCATTTGGAATCCTCCTCCATTAGGAATGGCCAGGACAAGTGGAGCTAGCCATTTTCATTACATGGCCATCCCAATGGACACTGGATCCCTGGTCCACCTGTCTAAAAGGCCAGTTGTGCCTGTCTGTGGATGTGGATGTCTGGCCTTCACCTGAGGTAGAGCGGGGACTATAAACACACATCAACTTTCTTTCTATTTGCTTTCTTTTCCCTCTTTTCAAACTCTTAAACTTAGGCCTTTATGCTGTGAGTGACTAGTCCAAGAAGCACACATTTAGTAGTAGTCCTGCACCAGCCCTGCTCTTGAATAAAAAGGAATATTACTGGCTGCACCCAAATCTTCTAGTACTTAAGTCGAGTAATAAGCATCAGGCATTGGAAGAGGTTTTAAATTTGCTTTTTTGAGGAAAAGAACTGGGGGTAGATTTTGGCATCGTAGCATATCGATTAAGGAATAATCAGGACATCAGATACATTTTAATACATAGCTGGGGCCTTACGTTGTAGATGAAGCTTGCTGTTTTTAGCAAGTTCCTGGGTTTCACATTCATTTCTGATGCATCTAGTAGCTCCATACATTTCATAACCTGATCTCTTTATTTGTATGCAAAAAATACTGTCTTAATACAGAGCAGCATTTTTGTAACAAAGAGACTGGCTGGAGCTATTTGGTGCTTGAATGTGACCATCCTTTTTACTTTTGCTAAGCCTTATTTAAATTTTGTATACCGTGGAATACGTAGAATTTGTCAAATCATTTTAGTGCTGAAGGTTTTTGATTTTTGTTTTTGTTTTTGTTGTTGCAGTTTCTTTGGTGGCTTGTTTTGTATTGTAAGATGGCACTTGCTGATATAAGTACTAAGGCACTAAGAGAAAATACAGATAAGTATTTATAAGATGCTTGGGAACCATAGCAGAATTTTTTGTTTGGTTTTGCAAGAGAAAAAAATTACCAATAAATAATTAATCTACCACCCAAACTCTCTTGGGGATGTCTTAGTATCTTCAGACTATAAAATTGTTCATCTAAGCACAGCATCATCTTACGGCCCTATGGATTGTAAATCTTCTAGTGAGGCTGTAAACTCCACTCTGAAAACAAAGGCATAACTTAACCGACTGCTCAGTTGTCCTTCATTGTAAAATGAATTGGCATTGGGAAAAAGGAAAAAAACAAACAACAAAAGAACAAAGAAAAAAGCCTCCTCCTTGCCCCTAATTTTTTTTTCCATATGGTTTTAGCCATTCCCCATCACTACATTGTGAAGCTATAAAAAATACATATATATACTTTACAAGATTTTAAATGAATTTCAAAACTGGTCTCAACGTTTATAATACGTATCTGTGTTTGGCAGTTGTCATAACCCAATCCTACACTCAGCCATCGGGACAGGTCTATCGGGGAGATAGTTCATGGTTTACAAGCCTTTGCTTTTTAACTGTTCAATTTCCTTTAAAGCACAACTAGCTATTTGTTTACAAATGATATTTTTATGTATATTTTGTATAGCGTATCATCATTTTGCCAAATACGTTTTTCATTATGAATGAGTAAAGAGTACTTAAGGTTGCATTCATGTATTACATGTTTGTTGTTGTAAACCTCTCCAATCAGCTGGTAGAAATTCTCCTCATTGTGTTCTATTTGGTCGGTCTCTGTATGATTGTAGGATGTGCTCCTTGGTAGTACTCCCAGCTGTAGATTTACCAGCTTAAAAGTTTGTTAGGATCTGTGCAATAAAGTGTTTGCAGTCTTATTTTCTCTAAGAAATTCCTTATGGATGTCATAATTGTTGTATATTGAACAAAGTATTTATACTTATGCAGTTGCATAACATTGAAATAAAAATTTAGCATGAAAGATAATGACTTGTAAGTTTTTTTCTAATATATACATTCCACCTCCAAAAAATATTACTGATTATTACTCTGGTATTATGGAAAGGATGGGCTTTTGCAGATTACTTTTTGCTGAGTGGAACAGTTTACCGCCTTTTTTTTTTTAATGTACACAAATATTCTTCAACATTAAGTCCTTTAACTGGGCATAATGTTGAAGAACATTATGCTCACCTGTAGTCCTAGCTACTTGGGAGTCTTAAGGCAGGAAGATGGCTTCAGCTGAGGAGCTGGAGACCAACTTGGGCAACATAGACCCTATCTCTACAAAAACTTGAAAAATTAGCTGGGTGTGGTGGTATGCGCCTATTGTCCCAGCTACTCAGGATGCTGATGTAGGAGGATTACTTGAACCCAGAAGTTCAAGGTTGCAATGAACAAGCTGTAATTGTGCCATTGCACTCCAGCCTGGGCAACAGAGCGAGACCCTATCTCTTAAAAAAAAAAAAAAAAAAAAAAAAGATTAAGTCCTCCTTTAACTTCTTCCTATTTTTTTCTACCAACCTTCTTCCTTTCCTGCAGAACTTACCAACTTCTACACCCACACTCGCCATCTTCCCACACTCAGAGGGTCTTAATTCTCCTTTCTCTGTGACACCACCACCACCTCCTCTCATTCTCTCATGAACTTGCTCCATCTATTACCATACTCTGCCTCAGCTTTCTCGTTTTCCTCCCCACCTGTCTCTTTCCTTTCAGAAAACCCCTTTCTTTGCCTGGCCTTTTCCCTCTGTCCCTTCTCACGTGACGTTCTATAAGAGGAGTCTGCACTTAGTATTTTTGGGTCTTCACCCCTTTTAAACCTGGCTCTGTCCCCCATGCTATCAACATTGCTGTGGCAGAGGTCACCAGTGACAGCTGACTCTAAAGCCCTCTTGTCAAGACATCACTTCAGTAGACCATCTTGAGAACCGGTCTGTCCCTGACAGCCCTCTCTCCTAGTTGTCTTCAACCTGTTCTTTTTCTCTCTTTACATAATTTCTTCCTTGTCCTCTTGTCCCTTTAAATACTGGTGTTCCCTGGGTTCATCCTTGGTCTCTGAGCATTTTACCTTGGCTCAGGCACCTCACACTCAAAATGTCCAAAAATGTGCTTATTCTGTGCCCCTTCTCTCAAAGCTCACTGTATTCCCCATCTTTTCTCCAAGTCAGATCCTAGAGTTCTATCTAAACTCTTTTTTCTTTCCTTACATCTAAAAAAAAAAAAAAAATGTTTCAGTGGTTTCACAATATACTCTTCCATGCAATCCATGTCCCATCTGTATGGTGCTACTGGCAGCCTTAGTTTGGTCTCTATCATAGTCTCTCTCCAGATGACCTCAACAGCCTCCTAACTGGTTTTCTTGCCTTCGCTCTTACCCCTTCTAGTCTGTTCTTTACAATGTCCCTAGAGTGATGTTGCTCAAGTGTAAGCACACCATGTTACTATCCTGCTGTAAACTTTTAAATAGCACCCATATTCTTTGGGTAAAGGCCAATTCCTTAAGTGTATCCTTACTCTAGAGAACTCCAGCTTAGCATGTATGCTGGACTCAGACATCTGGAGGAAGCCTTTTGGAAAGGCCTGGACTGACCTGTGGACCCTCTTTGCTTCACTGTGTATCTGCCTCATGGCACTCACTGCATTATTTTGGAGTTATCTTTCTACACGTGTATCTTTGCTAGACTTCAAGCTCCCTGGTTCTCTGTCTTGTTTTTTACTTCTAGGACAAAGCACATAGGAGACATCAATAAATATTTGCTGATGTGGTTAGGCTTTGTGTCTCCACCCATATTTCATCTTGAATTGTAACCCCCATAATTCCCATGTGTCAAGGGACAGACGAGGTAGAGTAACTGAATTATGGGGGTGGTTTCCCTCATGCTGTTCTCATGATAGTAAGTTCTCATGAGAACTGATGGTTTTATAAGGGGCTCTTCCCCACCCTTCGCTCAGCACTTCTCCTTCCTGCCGCTGTGTGAAGAAGGTGCTTGCTTCCCCTTTGCCTTCCACCATGATTGTCAGTTTCCTGAGGCCTCCCCAGCCATGCTGAACTATGAGTCAATTAAACCTCTCTCCTTTATAAATTACCCAGTCTTGAGCAGTTCCTTATAGTAGTGTGGGAATGGACTAATACATTTGCTGAACTGAATTGAACAGGAAAGGAAGTATTAGTAGTCGCTACTGTTTGTAGCACATTTACTAGGAGCCAAGTAACACACTAAATACTTTATTTGCATCTTCTCATTTAATTTCCATGCCATTTGAACTATACATTGCTTCATTTTATAAATTAGGAAGCCAAA